AATAAATACTTTATGCCTTTACTACTTTTTTACTTAGTTTAATACCGGGCTTTTTTTATCTTAATAATTTTAGTTATTTTAATAACTAGTACCCTAATATTTATTAAGTATTTATTTTTTTTTTATTTTAATACTTATGCAATTGGGCTAATATAAGGTTAATTTTATTTATTTATTAAAAAATATTTATTATTTTTTACCTTTTAAGTTTACTTATTAAGTTTACCCTTTAAGTTTGCTCTTTAAGTTTGCCCTTTAAGTTTGCTTATTAAATTTACCCTTTAAATTTACTTACTGCCCCCCTTTAAGCCCTTAGGTATATTAGTAACTTAATAAGGGGCCTGCTAACTAAAAAAATTAAAAATACTTGTAATAATATAAAGTATAATAAAAAAAATTAAATATTTAAATCTAGGTTTATTAACTATTTTTAGTTTATTAGTAGTTTTTAGTTTATTAAAGTTCTTAGTTTATTAAAGTTCTTGGGTTTACAATTTACATTTAATGCTAAAAAAAAAAAATAATAAGTATTTAAATTTATTAAGTCTAAATTTATTAATTATTTATTATACTTAAATAAACTAATTAGTTTAATCTAGTTAAACTAGTATAATATATTTTAATAAGGCTAATTAATCCCTTATATAATAAGGCCACCCTAAACCTTGCTAGCTAAAAAAATAAAATATCCCTAAATATTAGCACTTTAACTTATTTTTAGGTATTAGTATATTAGCACTATTAGCTATTACTAATAACATGCCTTTATACTTATAAAGTATTATTAATTACTATTTCTCCGGCCAACCCCGGGTATAATAGTTACCTAAAAATTATTACTTACTATTACTTTATATTACTAAAATATACTACCTATGCCTTTACCACCATGTAAGGGGGGTATATAAAACATAGCTTAAAGTATTTATAAAATTTTTTATTATTTATTACACTTTTATATAAAACAAATAATATATTACTCCCTAAAGTTTAGGTTAAAATAAAATTACCTATTTAGCCTTATAACACCCTTTAGGTTAAATTCCTATAGCTTATAACTACCTAAAACAGGCATTTAGGCGTAATATATATTTCTTATAAGCTAAAAATTTTTATTATAGTAATTTTAATTAATTAATATATAGCTAATAGTAAAGTATTATTATTTTAATAACCCTTTTTAGCTTAGCCCAAAGCTAACCCCTAATACCTAAAGGCATAATGCCCAAAGGCATGCCCAAAGGCATAATACTTAAAAAAAAGCTTTAATATAATAAGTTTAAAAGGTTTAGGGCTTTAAAGCCCTATTCTAGTAACTTAAAGGCTATTAAATAAAAAGTATATTTTTAATTAAGTGTAATACTAGTATTTATTAAGTTAGCATGTTTATTAAAAATAAGCCCCTGGCCAGGAAAATTTAACCTATTATTTTTTTTTATAACACGCTAAAATAATATATATTTATTATTATAGTAAACATGGCTCTTAAACCTTAATATCTTAGTATTTTTATATATACTATTAAACAGGGGCAGTAAGCCTTTTTTAACTTAATTTTAATAACCTAGCTTACCTTAATACTATAGCTAAAAGCGCTAAAACTAAATTATATAAGTAGTTTTAAAGCTAGCCAGCTATTTTAGTACCGCTATTAACTATTAATATATTATAAATTTTAGCTAGTATATTTTTTAGGGTAAATAACCTTATAAATCCTAAATATTTTATACCTTAGGATGCTAGCGCAAAGGTGCAGTACTAAAGTATAGTAAATTTAATAAACTTATTAATATAGCATATGCAAGAGCCATACCCTAAAAAATAGCTACTTTTAAAAATATTATATTATTTCCTTGCTTTAAAAAAAACTTTATATTTTAGGTTTACCCTATAATAATAAGCTATTTACTTTATTAAAAGCTAACCTTAATAATTAAAGCTTATAAGCTTGCATAACAGCTAGTTAAATATAAAAAAAGGTAAAATACTTTTTTAAACATGCTAGTACTTAATATCTTGGGTATAAATTTTACTAGCCTGTAAATAATAAGTACTAAAAGTAGGTATTATAGGTAGGGTTTATAAGGCAGTTCCCGCCAGCTATTAAATTTATTTATTATTATATTTAATAAGGGCCCTACTTTATTAGCGCTATTTATAAATAATTATTCCTTAAATACCTTTACCACCAAGAAGCTTGGGGCTAAATATTTAAGTTAGGACTTTAAAAACCACCCTAAATATCTTTACTATTAAAATACTTAAGGCTAAATATTTTAGTTAGGACTCCGGGAACCACCCCTAATACTAGTAAATATACTATTAATATTATAAGTAATTAAAAACCCTTCCAAGCCCCTGGGTATATTAAAAACTTAATGGGACTTTTTATTTAATATAGGTGTTTATTTCTTGCTTAATTAATTTATAAATAATTTTTAGTCCTTTTTTAATTTTTAGTACACCTTTAATCCCTAATAACTTTTTAATTTTTTAAAAACTAATTAACTATAAAACTATATAAAATAAAAAGGGATATAGCCTATAGAATAAGGCTGGAGGGCCATAAGCAAGTAAACTAAGTAAGTAAACTAAGCAGGTAATTAAATATAGGCTATTAGTATCCTATAATAAAGTCTTATAGTAAAGGGCTTACTTGCTAAAAGGTGGTTATTTATAACCTTTAATTAAAAGCCTTGCTTTTTTTTATAATAAGTACTGCCTTAACTATTATTATTAAAAAATAATATTTTAAATAAATTATGCAGCCCGGTCTTAATTAATATTTAATATTTAGCTTAAAGCCGGCCCCTAAGTTTATATTATTATTAAATAAATACTTTTAGCCCAGGGGCTAGCCCCCTAAAGTTTAATAAATTAATACTTTTTATAAATATACCCTGCTTATTACTTTTTTTACATGCTAAAGTGGTAAAAATTATAACTTTATATAGTTATTACTTTTTTAATAATATATTTAAAAAATATAACATAAATAAATACCACCCGTGGCACCCTAGGCTATAAATAACCTTTTTAATACTATATTTTATACCTACCTTAGTTAGCTTGCTTAAGTAATTCTAACCCAAGAACTAGTAGCTATAACTAAACTAAATTTTATAGCTATTTCCCCACGCTACGGTGTATTAAAATATTTAAATTATACCTAGCATGGTACTATATAAATAACCCCTAAAATTTAATATTCCTAAAAAAGACGGCTGTGCCCCTAAATTATTTTATAATCCCCTTTAATATTATAAAAAGCTAGCTATAACACTAATAAAAACTAAGCTTGCTTACTATTTAATAGTTTATTAATATTAAATTACTAAGGGAAACAATTTACTAGCTCCAACCGCGGCGCTGCGCGCCGCGGCCTACGCTAGTATTATTATTTATAAGGCACAAGAAATAACTATTAATAAAGTAGTTTTAAATATATTAAAAAAGGATTTTTTACTAGGTTTAATATATATAATAGTTTTTTATGTTAAAATACTAAATAAAATTTTATTTAAAAAGCCTTTTAACTATAATTAGTTTAAGCCTTAAAAGTTAAAAACTAATAATATAATTTTAATATACTTAGTAAATATTAAGTACAGGGTTAATTAGCATGTATATATATTTTATTTATTAAAATATTTAGTTAATTAATTTAATTATAATATTTTTTAGCTTTTAAGCTTAAGCCTTTTATAATTAAGTTATTTAAATTTTAATATAAAATTAGTTTACCTATTTATTTATTTTTTTTTTACTTTTAATTATTTTTTTTATATTACGGCTGGTTATTTTTACTTAATTTTTATTAGTTAAATAGCTTACTTAAATATTTATAAATTAAATAAGGCTATAAATAAATATAAAAAACTTAATACTATAAAGTTATATTAAATTTTTAATTTATAAATTTTTTAAATATTAAAATAATACTTTTTAATTTTTTATAATTTTAAGTATAAGGTTATTTTAAATATATTTTAAATAATAGCTTTTTATTAGCCCAAGGCTATTAATTTAAATAAGTAAAAATTAATACTTTTTTTTAAAGTTAAGCATGTTAAATTTTTATATATAAAATTAAAATTTAAAAATTTATTACTTTTTAAAGGTTTTTACCGCTATACTAGCCTAATTAAAAAGTAATAAATTAATTTTTTAACTTTACCTAATTTAATTAATTTATAAAAAAAAACTTATATAATTATACCCAGGTTTAAACCCGGGATTTTCTAATTTTTAAAAATTTTTAAAAAGTAATTTTTAGCCTAGTTTTAGCTTATTTAAACCTAAAAAAAAATAAATACTTTTTTAATAAAAATAGGTGCTTAGCACTTTTTAAAGGCTTTAAGTATTTATATAAGGCTTTTTAAAGCTTAAAATAAGCTAAAATTACCCTTTAAAAGCTAAATTAAGTTATTATAATACTAGCACGTGATTATTAAGTTAAAGGGCTATGTAAGTTATTATTTACCTAATAAAATAACCTTTATTTTTTAAAGGATTAAACTAAAGTACTGCAACCACTTAGCACGCGGGCTACAGGGTATTTTACCTACCCTACGTATCCTAGACCAACATAACATACCCAAGGCACTCCTACGGTTTAAGGTTCCGGTGCAAATACCCCTTGCTCGGCATGGACTCGGCAGGCCGGGAGGTCTTTATACAGTAGGATTTGGTCGCTGCTCTGGTCTCCCTTTCCCCTTGCTCCAACTTGACCTAGAGCCCAGAGATGAGGCACCATCCCGAGGTACGTGGCACCACTACCAAAGGCTCCAGTAGTCGAGTATGCTTAGGTATGGTAGGTTAGGTATCCTCCATTCCGAACATCCATATCTATATACATTGAACCATAAGTTTGCTCCTAACTCTCCCCGTCCTACCTGGCGAACCATCCCAGCTCTACATCACAACCAGCTCACCCTCCACAATCCAGTCCAGCCCAGTCCTCCAGATCCCAACCTGGAATCCACCGAGTTAGCTGAAATCTAAATCCTCGCCCTCCTCGTCGCCAACGCATCCGTCAACCCAAGCAACCGATCCCTCTCCTGCGCACTAAACTCCCGTCGATCCGGCCCGCCCCGACTCCCATCCCCGCCATTGCGACTGTTGCTCCCCGTGAACAGCTTCTCGCGCGGCTGGTCGCGGTACTCGGTGTGGAACTTCCACTTGGCCGTGAGTTCGGGCGACAGCGTGCGCTGGAACGCCGAGCCGATGTATTTCCCGATCACGGGGAGGAATTTGAAGGCGCTGCGTACATACGTCATCGTGTTAGCTTGAGGTTGAGGGGGAAGGGGAAGGGGAAGGGGAATATAGGCGGGTGTGCAGGTAGGAGTAGCTAGGTATGGTAGATATGGATGGCACGTACTGTCCCGTCCCCCCCGTCGCAACAAACAGGTTCTGATACTCGGGGTGGAAGTCGAAGATGAAGTCGCCCGTCGGCGTCTCGTTGTACCAACACAGACAGGTCTTCTCGAACCCGCGCTCCGCGATCTCGGGGAGGATCTCCCTCAGTCCAGCGCTCAGCCGCTCCATGCCTTCTTGCGGGATGAAGTTCGCACGGGCAGGGATCGCGCGGCTGGGCGGTGCGGAAACAGACTTGTTGACCGACTCGCTGGACAGCGTGTACCCGAAGCTATGGCACGCAACCTTCAGGTACCCGCTCTTCTCATGCGGCGGGAAAGAGAAGAAGCCGGTCGACAGGTTGAAGATGATAGGCAGGTCCTTGAGCGCCTGTACCTCGGACGGCGTGAGGCGCACGAAGCCCACGATCTGCGCGGTCGCCACCATCGAGTTCCACGATGGGATCAGGCTGGCTGTCCAGGCGCCCGTTGCCAGGATGAATTTGTCGCCGGGGATGCGGCCGCCGTCGAGGGTGCGGGCTGCTGTGATTTTGATCTCGCCGCTGTCTTCCTTCCCGTGCTCCAGGTACGAGACGTGGCCGTGTGGCCCTGTGACGAACGACACACCCGCTTCGATGCAGCGGTCTCGCAGGCCTGCGATCGCGACGCCTGCGTCTGCCCACCCGGCGGCGTTGTTATAGAACCCCTCGAACTCCTCGCCGATGGGGCGGCCCGCTACGGCCGGAAAGCGCTGCTTTAGCGCGTCCACATGAGGCAGATCATGCCACTCCAGGCCTAGATCATCGAGGATGTTCTTCGTGCGCCGGATGAAGTCCGACCCGCCTGCTAGCCCGCCTTTCTTCTGCGACGTCCACACGCACGGGCCCTGGTGGAAGGAGTCTGCGTAGGCCGGGGTGTTCCAGAGGTCGTAGGCTTCCTTGCCGAGCTGCGCGTAGACCTTGTCGCCGTAGTCGAAGCGGATGACGCGCGAGATGTCGTTGCTGGAGCCGTCGGGGACCGGGGGCATGCAGCGGTCGAGAACTGTGATGTTTGTGAAGCCGGTGGTGGCGAGGTCGAGGGCTGTGGAGAGGCCGAAGACGCCGGCGCCGATGATGATGATGCGGGTGGATTTGTCCATGGTCGTGATATGATTATGAGGATGGGAGAGGTAGCAGTGGTATGAGGAAGTTCTTTACTAGGTATAGGTATAGCTATAGCTGCTGTATACACTGGTGGAGCTCCCCGCAATGCAGCGTCGGCTCGTGAACCGTGTGAGCCGGCTTGGCGTGATAAGCTGGCGGAGGTTCGTGGGTCGGTTGGGAGTTTGAGTTTGCTTTTCTTTGTTTGCTGGTGTTTGCTGTGCTCAGATAACATTTGAAGATAGCGGTCGGTCATGCAGTTGTGTTGATAGCGTTCTCTGGGTGTGGTGGGAGAGATGCAGGACTCCGGGTAGCCCTAGATCGATATCGTCGACGGATGGAAACCTCTGCAGACTCGATGTCTATTCATTTATTGGCTGGATAACGAATTCGGAGAGTCCAATTCTCTCTTACTATACCTGTTTTTTGTTACAGCCCCATGCCTTCTTGTCGCTCACCGTTTACTCCATGAACATACAAATATATACATCCAGGGGAATTAGGGGAAAGAAGCCGACATCAAAGGGTATCCCTGTGAGAAGTGAGATATTGTTCTAAAAGTCAAAGCTTAATCCGGAGATGACTATTCCGCCTTCCGCGTAAGACAGGAATGTTCAAGCCCCGGCCGTGACCACCGGTAGGACCGTGTCCCTATGCGTACAGAGCAGGTCATGGGACTGCAGGTGGGAACGTATAACCCATCTTGACATAGTGCTGATGCAACACATCCTTCAACGTACCTTATCTTTGCCACGAGGTCAAAACTACGCAGCATGACTGTCGTGGTACACGCCCGGCCACATCGGGCGCCTGCATCTGCATCGGGGTTGAGCCGGACAGTGAGCCGCCGCCATCACCGACTGCAGACGGCAAACAACACGGCTTCGTCATCTGGACACTGAGACTAGGCAGCTCCAGACAAAGAAGTCACAAGGCTGCTGAACCGCCTACTGATAGGCGTGCTGTGGCGTCCGGAGTCCAGACCGTCCCGGCGGACTCCCATTCATGTCTCCGTCCTGGACGGACGGCTATCGTCAACATGACTTGACCTGAGGTTGTTCACGGCTCAACACCAAGTCTCTTGAGCCTATATAGAGGCCTCGAGTCCGCGAGACAAAGACAATAACAAGACCTTGAGTCTGAGACCACAACGACCTCGAGTCCAAGACACAACGACCTCGAGTCCAAGACACAACAACCTTATTTCAACGTGATACCCATCCTCTCCACTCCACCAAAACCAACACAATGTCCTCCCTCCTCAGCTACCTCGGACTCCGCGAGTCCCCCTCCCCATCATCCCCCCCAGGCGGCACCCGCGCCCTGCCGGCCTCCTGGTACACCAGCCAAGAGATGTTCGAGCTGGAACGCCGCGCCATCTTCAGCCGAAAGTGGCTCATGACAACCCACAGAAACCGCCTCGCCAACACCGGCGACTGGCTGCGCTACGAAGTCGCCGGCTTCACCTTCGTGCTGGTCAAGGACCGCACCGGCGCCATCAACGCCTTCCACAACATCTGCCGCCACCGCGCCTTCCCCGTCGTGACCGAAGACCAAGGCTCCAGCCGCATCTTCTCCTGCAAATACCACGGCTGGTCCTACGGGCTCAACGGGAAACTCGCAAAAGCCCCAGGCTACCAAGACCTCAGCGGCTTCGACAAGAGCAAAAACGGCCTCCTCCCCATCCACGTCCACGTCGACAACTACGGCTTCATCTGGGTGAACCTCGACGCAAAAGAGAGCCCCGAGATCGCATGGGACGACGACTTCGCGGGCATTGATCAGCAGCCGCGCATGTCCTACATCAACTGGGACGACTACGTCTACGACCACACCTGGGAGCAGGGCGGCGACTTCAACTGGAAGATCCTGGCGGACAACTACAACGAGTGCTACCACTGCGCGACGACGCACCCGGACATCCCGGCCGTCGCAGACCTGAGCACGTACTCGGTCGACACTCGAGACGGGAGCATCATCCACGACGCACACAGCAAGCCCGAGCAAGTCGAGCGCGGCCTCAAGGTCGCGGCGACATACTACTTCCCGAACGCGAGCATGAACGTGACGCCGAACTTCTTCTTCACGCAGCGGTTTGTGCCGATCAGCCCGACGAAAACGAGCATGAAGTACGAGGTGTTCCGGAACAAGAATGCGTCTGACGAAGACTTTGCGCTGGTTAACGAGATGTATAAGCGCATTATGAGCGAGGATAAGTACCTGTGTGCGTATGCGCAGCGGAATCTGAATGCCGGGGTCTTTGTGAATGGGGAGCTGCATCCGACGATGGAGAAGGGGCCGCTTTATTTCCAGAAGAGTGTGAGGGATCTGGTGGTCGGGCACTTTGAGAAGGAGGAGAAGGGGAAGGGCGAGATCTGGCCGGCCAGGCAGATTCTGCCCAAGGAGAGTGAGGTTTCTGAGAAGGATGTGCTGTTTTGCTCGGGCTTGAAGTGTCAGGAGGCTGGAGGGCCGACGGATGGGGCGTGTTTGGGGGCTCAGCCGGCGGCGGCGGTTGCTTGGTAGGAATTTACTCTGATGGGATGGGAGATGGATGCAGACTGTTTGTTAGCGATGTTTGTTGTGCATAGTTTGTTTATGTTTAGTTATGTTCATGAGTCTGACAAATTGTTCACTTTATGCTCTGATAAGCCAGCTGCTATCGACGATCTCTGATTGGCGGAAGTAGTCGATATCGTGCGCGCTAACTGAGTCTGGTCAAGCGTCTCCCAATCAAGACAAAGTATCCCGACCCCGCAGCTTGGCCTGTCCTGTCGGTCAGTGCCAGTGTCCCTCAGTCAGTGCAAAGGGTCTGCCTTCATTGATCTCTTCATCTGTCACTTCATCCATTGCTGCCTCCTTGCACCGTCCATCCTAGCCCTCATAAGCCTTAGTCAGGGTTCTCCCTCCTCACCAAGGTCATCTCCAACACATCCAAGCCACGCACCCATTCCCGCACCGTACCTCGTGGCGATGCCGCCCGACAGCGGGACACGTCGCCGCCTCCGCTCAAACCACGCCTGCATCAACTGCCGCCGCAAGAAGACGCGCTGTCCGGGCGAGAAGCCCGCCTGCTCGTGCTGCGTGCGGTTGAACCAGCAGTGCTCGTATGCGGCGGCGGGGGGAGTCAGCGGGCCGGATGTATGTCTCTTATCTACCACAGTAGGAGCAAGATTGCTGACAGCTGGTAGAAAGACCGACTCGCGGAGCTGGAGGAAAAGGTCAACCAGATCCTGCGAGGGGCAGCGTACGTACCACCGATCTTAAGCGTTGAGAATGCTAAGTGGGCAGACAACACGAACAACCGCCGCTCGAAGAACACGACTTCAGCAGCACGTCGCACGGCGAATACGCGAACGAGACGGCCTTTCCCTCGATATTCGCCCTCGACGAAGCGAGCCCGCAGGCGTCGTCGCTTGCCGTTGCGAAAGCCATCGATCTGTACCTGGAGTGCTGCCACCGACAGCCGGTCTGGTGTCTGAACATCAAAGAACTCGGCAACATCGAGTCGCACCCGGAGGAGCTGATCTACAGTATCCTTGCGCTGACGAGTCGATTCACGAGAGAGGCTGAGCAGGGCCAGCGATATGCAGATAGCGCAAAGAGCCTGATTATGCTGAAGATCGCGAACGGGACGGTCGAGCTGGCCACGATCGAGAGTCTGTGTTTGCTTGCGTATTCCGCTTTTATCGGTATGTCTGCCTCCTCACATAAGACAAGAAGTGAATTAATATCAATAGATGGCCACCTCCAGCTCGGTCGGTTCCATCTAGGCCTGGGCTTCCAGCTCTGCCGCGCCGCCATGCTCGACACCGACGCCGCCTACACAACCACGCAAGACCGGCACGCCGAGCAGAAGAAGCGCCTGTTCTGGTCCCTCCAGCTCCTCGAGCAGTCCTACGGCCGCCAGACGGGCCTCCTCGCCATCCCAACCTCCACCTGGCGCCCGCCCTACCTCTCCCCCTCCGACCCCCGAGAAGACACGACCCCGAAACCGCCCCCCGTCCCGCGCGACACAGTCGGCTGCTCCTCCCCCGACGACACCGGCATCTGGAGCATGTCCATCCACTTCGGCTGGGTGTGGGCCAAGGTCCGCGCGTACATAAGCCACTGCACAAGCAACCGCGTGACGGAGCCCTGGCGCCACGAGTCCCAGTACGCGATCGTCCTATCCGACCTAAATGAAATCGAGAACTCGACCCCCCTCTGCCACCGCTACGACCACGTGCGCTTCTACGCGCGCACCGCCGACGAGATAGCGAGCAATAAAGCCTACTGGGTCCCCTGGGTGAAGCTGCAATTCATGTACCACGCCATCCTGACCGTCCTCAACCACCCATTCCTGTACATCATGGCCTCGCAGCAGAACCCGAACCTCGCGATCCCGAATAGTTTCTGGCGCCGCAGCTCGGAACTTGTTCTGCTTCATGCAACCTGGATCGTGCGACTCATCGATATGGTCTCCGAGAAGAACTTCCGGCTCACGGACCCGTTCTTCGCGCATGTCGCTGGCATCGCCGCGACCGTGCAGCTTTATTACTGCTGCGCTGATGATCCAAGACTCAAGTATAAGTCCCGCGCCGACTTTGCGAAGTGCTCTGATTTCCTGCGCGGGTTTAGTGGGTTTTCGCGCGCTTGCGAGGTCTTGGTACGCCCACTTACCCTGCCAAAGACAGCGAAGAATGAACGCATGCTAACGAACGTCGCAGAGCCAAAAACTCACAACCCTAACCCGCATCGCCTCGGGCACCGAAATCATCGATCTAGACGACTGGGTTCCTTCAAAGATCCACCTGAACATCCCGCTGATGTGGGATATCCTGCAGTTCAACGTATCCCCGGACTCCGACTCCAGCGACGATCGACTTCAAAGCCAGGGCCTCCTGCACCCCTCCCTCTCCCCACCCGCCCTCGCCCAAGGCGCACCCGACATCTCAAACCTCGATATCATCGTCACCGCCTCGCCGGAGGTAAGCGTCAACACGACGGACGGCGGCCAGGCCGTGCCCATGCCGCTGTATCGCAGTCCGACGGCCGTGGCCGAGACGCTGCGGGGCACGAGTCTGCGTGATACTGGTACTGGTAAGGAGCGGGAGCGGGAGAGTGTGAGTGTGAGTGTGAGTGCCGTGAGGGATCCGCTCGTTGCGCCGGTTGACAGCCTCATGCTGAACACGCCGTGGCTGTGGGCGGATTCGACGTTCGGGGGCAATATGGATGAGGTTGAGTATCATGGGCCCGCGGCCACGGCCACGGGCATGCAGGTTCCGATAGTCGGGGATGTGGAGGGGAGTGCGTGGTGGAATTTGGGAAATCTATAGACCAGACCTCTGGCTGACTGATGCATACGAACTGAACTGATGGTTTTCTGACGCTTGTTTCCTAGGGGGGGTGAGAGATGTCTAGCTGTTTCAAGACCCAAGACGCCACGGCCACAGCGACAGCGACAGCGACAGCGACAGCGACAGCGACAGCGACAGCCATGACCGTCACAGTGACCGCCATAGTCGGGGCTCGATGCCACTCAACGTCTTCCATTCCACAGCGCCATCGCCCGTCTGCACCACTGACCGATCGCAAGATCCGAGCCCGCGGCTGTCCACTCTTCTCTGCGCCTTCCATGCACCAGCTTCCCAAGCGCCACTCTCGATTTCCATTTCCGGCCCAGCCTTGCGGTTTAGTACGGTACCCAGTCTCCCAGCGGCAATATGACTTCCAAAGCACCAGTCCCAACGCACTCTGCCCCATGCGTCGCCGCACAGAACCCATTGTTGACTGGATCTAGGACTCGTTTATTCTTGTTTGCCCAGGCAGTGCCAGTATCGGTGGGCAGCCTAAGCTTCAGTTGCAGGTGCTGAGATGGAATCGCAGAGGAACCCGGGCTGTGTGGATGCTTTGACTTTATTCGCCCTTGCTGCGTCGAACATCCTGCCCAGGTGCTAACGAAGGCTAGGAGTACGTGACCCTACCAAAATCATGAGTATCGAAGGTAGGATCCTCGGTTAAGGGATCGCTATATCAACCGGTCGGCGCGTATCACCAAGGTTGCTACGGTTTTGACTGAGATCATAAACGCACTCAACGCCCAGCTTGTCTGTCTCGAGAATCGCTCAATGATCTGGCGGGATATAGCCCAGGACATTGCTTTTTTTTTTTACTAAGGGTTGCTAGGAACGCCTAACCCAACAGATGTACGTCACCCTCTCCTCCAGCTCCTCCGTTTCAGCCTTACCCGGCATTCTACTCTATGTACGCGGCTGGGGACAATCAAAATCCAAGAACTCCTTGAAAAGAATCCTTGAACACGTGAACATGTATTATCGTAGGGATTTAGATCGCCGCCCGAGTTCGACCAAGTCACCATGCGTCCTGCAAGTGTCATCGTGACAAAGAACATGTAGGGTACGGTGTATTCTTAGAAACAGCACCCTGATAAGGCAGGCTGGACCCGACTCCCCAAAGTAGTCTAGACGGTCCATGATCCCACGGTTCCAGCTCCTGCCATGTACTCTGCCGGATCTCTCTGGTCGTCTGGACCGCAGACAAACGCGGGGGTCGGCTCGGTTCCGGGTCGCCCGACGCCTTATCGCACCAACCCCGCAGCCTGGCCATACCTAACTTCTAAGTAAAGGGTAGCTATTCGTGGATCGATCGGCTCGGAATCAGCGCCCGTGGACAACCGTGCGCAGCCGTGGCGTTGGAGACTGTTGCCGCGGGGCACGGTCGGGGGCCGGCAAGGCCATGACATGCCATGCCAGCTATCAGCATGGAGGTATAGTATACTAGCAACGCCATACGTTCTTCTCTCCCACTACACAGACACACCAACAAACTCAACCACAATGCCCCCCAACGCCCCCTCACAATCCATCATCATCATCGGCGCCGGCATCGTCGGCGCAAACCTCGCCGACGAACTCCTCTCGCACGGATGGAATCCTTCAAACATCACAGTCATCGAGCAAGGCCCGCTCTCGCTGCCAGGCGGCTCAACATCGCATGCCCCGGGCCTGGTATTCCAAACGTCGCCGTCGAAGACAATGACGCGGTTCGCGCAGTACACGGTGCAGAAACTGCAGGGTCTCAGCCAAGACGGACAGAGCTGCTTTAACCAGCTTGGTGGGCTGGAGGTCGCGACGACGGAGGACCGAATGCACGAGTTGGAGAGGAAGCTCGGGTATGCGAAGGCATGGGGGGTTGAGGCGAGATTAATCAGTCCGGAGGAGTGTTTGGCGCTGCACCCGCTCTTGAGCACAGAGGGCGTCGTCCTGGGGGGTTTGCATATCCCGTCGGACGGCCTGGCTCTTGCGGCGCGCGCAACAGGCCTCCTGGTTGAGCGGACCAGGGCCGCGGGCGTCACGTACCTCGAGCACACGGCCGTAACGGGCATCCTGCAATCGGACGGTCGGGCCACGGGCGTGAGGACGAGCGCCGGCGCGCTCCATGCAGACATCGTGGTTTCCTGCGCGGGCTTCTGGGGCGTTGAGATTGGAGCCATGGCGGGCGTGGATATCCCGCTTCTCCCGCTGGCGCATCAGTACGCGAAGACCACGCCCATCGAGCAGCTCGCCAACCGCGACGTGAACGCCTGCATCAACGCGATGAATGCGGAGTATCCGATCCTCCGCCACCAGGACCAGGACCTGTATTACCGCGAGCACGGCGATAGGATCGGGATAGGCTACTACGGACACAAGCCCATGCCCGTCGTCGCGGGGGATCTAGGCGCCACGCCGAAGGTCGTAAGCGAGACGAATATGCCGAGTCGACTGGATTTCACGAGTGAAGACTTCGCGCCTGCGTGGAAAGAGACACAGACACTCCTCCCTGCGCTGCGCAGTGCCGAAATCGACGACGGCTTCAACGGCATCTTCTCGTTCACGCCGGACGGCGGACCCCTGCTCGGCGAAGCCCCCAATCTGGACGGGTTCTTCGTCGCCGAGGCCGTCTGGGTCACGCACAGTGCGGGCGTAGCAAGAGCGCTGGCAGAGCTGCTGACGCAGGGCTGGTCGAGCGTCGACGTCTCCGAGTGCGAGCTCTCGCGGTTCGAGACCGTCCAGCTGGGCAGACCCTACGTGCAGGAAACGTCGCAGCAGAACTTCGTCGAGATCTACGATATCATCCACCCGCTGCAGCCGCGCACCTCGCCGCGGAATCTGCGTGTGAGCCCGTTTTACGCCCGCCAGGTTGAGCTGGGCGCGTTCTTCCTCGAGGTCGGCGGGTGGGAACGCCCGTTCTGGTATGAAGCCAACAAGGGCCTCCTCCGCTCGTTACCGGAGAGGTGGCACCCTGTGCAGCGCGATCCCTGGTCAGCTCGGTTCTCCTCGCCCATCTCAGCGGTTGAAGCGTGGAAGACGCGGCATGCCGTCGCGCTGTACGACATGTCCTCCTTCCACCGGTTTATTGTCAACGGTCCCGGCGCCGTGCAACTCCTCCAGCACCTCACGACATCGGATATGGATGTCCGCCCCGGCACAATCACGTACACGCTCCTCCTGACCCCGAACGCCGGCATCCGCGCCGACATCTTCGTCACCCGCCTCAACGCCACGACCTTCCAGATCGGCGCCAACAGCGCCTCAGACCTCGCGTACCTGTCTCGCGCAGCCCGGCAGCAATCCAAATCATCCTCAGACTGGGTAACCGTCTCCGACATCACAGGGGGCACCTGCGCCCTGGGTCTCTGGGGCCCGCGCGCCGCAGACGTGCTGTCCACCCTGGGCATCACAGACGAGATCGCCAACAAAGCCCTCCCCTACATGCACGCCAAGCCAGCCACACTGGCATCAATCCCCGTCCTGCTCCTCCGAAAGTCCTACGTCGGCGAGTACGGGTGGGAAATCCAAACGTCCGCCGAGCACGGGGCCCGCCTCTTCGAGTCCGTCCTCGCCGCTGGAAAACACCACGGGATCATACCCGCCGGCCGCGCCGCCTTCAACGCGCTCCGCCTTGAGTGCGGATATCGCACGTATGGAATAGACATGGGCGCCGAACATGACCCGTACGAAGCCGGACTGGGGCATGCGATTTCCAAGAATAAGGAAGAAGACTTTATTGGCAAGGGCGCGCTGCGGACTCGAGCTGCTCGGCCTCTCTCCCGCCGGCTGCGCTGTCTTACGGTCGACGATGGGAGATCTGTGCTTATGGGGAAGGAGCCTGTGTTTCTGGATGGGAGTGGGAGTGGGAGTGGGAGTGGGAGGGCGGTTGGGTACGTCACCACCGCGGCGTTCGGGTTTACGGTTTCGAGGCCGGTCGTTTGGGCGTGGTTGCCTGCGGCGCTTGGCGAGGGGGTTGGTGTGCAGATTGGGTATTTTGGGAGGAGGGTTCAGGCGACGGTTGTGGAGGGGGCTGTTGTTGATGGCGAGGGGAGAGTCGCTGGACCTGGAACCGGGGGTGGGAGGGAGAGGGAGAGTGGGAGGGGGAAGGAGAGGCCGCTCAAGGCTCTCCTGTGATTACGGTAGATATGCTTTCCTCCATGGCGTTTTTCTTTGGTAGCGTACCATACCATATTTCCATTTCTCCAGCCATGTTGCATTTCAATTCAAGCCCGGTTTCTTCGGCCGGGGCTATTACCGACATCCCATCATTTCCACATGGCAGTCTCCCTCGGGCTAGTTCTAGTCGGCCTTTGCTACCTGGAGCCTTGGGGGGAGAGTGCGGGGCAATTGGCACGCATCTTAAACCATCCCATACGTACACCCTCAAGGACGAGTCTATGAGGCCCTTTGAATACCGTGCAAAGGAAAGCTGTTAATTGTATAAATACTGGAGAATTAAATAAGAAACACGATAATATTTAAAAGCTAGAGCTAACTAGGGTTTTTATAAATAATTTAAGCTTTTAAAAATAGTAAAAATTTTAAATACTTTTACTAATACTTTGTAATATTTAAAAAACTATAAATATTATAATTATATAAGCAAGTAATTTAGTGGTAGGTATTATAATATTTTAATTAAAATTACTTAAGGTGCCTAAGCGCTATTAAAGTATTATAACATTTTTTTATTAAATTAAGTAATTTTTATTATTAGCTAACACTGTCAGGGCCAACGTTTTTCCGTTTGACGTCACCGGAGCCAATCCACCGTTGGTCCAGAGTTAGCGCCTGAGCTTTGGCCTCAGGCCACCAAGGCTTGGCATACCTTACCACCACGTTGGGCTATATAACTTAACTAGGTTATTAGTATTTAGGGTTTTAGCTATTAGTTAGGCAAGGCTAGGGTAGGCCCTAAGTATAGACTAAAGTAAAAACCCGTGTGTAAAGTATTTAAATCTATATTTACTTTTTAGTTAGGAATAGCTTAAGTGTAACTTAAAGGTTTATAAAAATAGCCTTAAGGCTAGCCTTTTTTTTAGATTTTTAAGTAACTTTTTTAGTATTATTTAATAAGGTTTAAAATACTTTATTTTTATTAGTTAAATTTTTTTGTTAATATTTTTATTATTAATAAAGATTTTTAAAACTTATTAATTTTATAGTTAAAATTGCTTGCACTTACTACTTTTTAAACTTTTTTAATAATAATATCTTAAACTAGATTTTTAAAAGGTAAGTAAAGGTGGTTTATAAGTATTTTAGTTAAGGTTCTTAAAACCTAGACTTAAATAGCTAAAAAAGTATTCCCTTTTTTATTTATACTTAAAAATTTTATTATTATTAAAGATAGTTAAAAAAAAAAACCTAACTTAAATAATTTAGTTTACTAGCTTAATAAAGTATAAAATAAAATATATTTTTTACTTTATTATTTTATATTATTATTAAAGCCTATTAATCCAGAATTTATTATAATTAAAGCTATTTTAAAAAAAAAGTAATTTAAAATTATAACTCCTGGCCTATTTATTTTTTAACTTTAATATAATTAATATCGCGTGTTAAAATTAAAATATTTTTTTAAAAAAAATAAGGGAAAGTTGCCCCTGTAACCCGGAGCTAAAATAATATTAAATTATTAATTTTTATATTAATCCTTTTATTAATCCCCGTGCTAATCTTCTTGTTAACATTCTTAGCAAGCTTTAGAAAAAATTAATCCTAGTAATCCTTTTGATTCCAGTTTGGAGTCAAGCTTAGACAATTCTTTGGAACCCAGTGCCAGTGAAGCTGGCTCTAAGGGGTCTGGAAGTTTTGGATATATATAAAAAAGGTACTAAAAGGCTATTAGGGATTATAAGCTTTGCTATAAAAAAAAAAGGCTTTTTAAAAGCCTAAGATTAAGTTTAAAAAGGTTAAAAAGTTAAAAGGGAAAAATATAATAAAACTTAAAATTTAGTTTAAAAACCTAAAAAATTACTTTTATAGCGCCCCTAAAAGGTTTTAAATAAATAATAAAAAAATTATATTTATTATTTAAAACGCTTTAAAAAACACT